GTGTGTGTGTGTGTGTGTGTGCGCGTGCGTGTGTGTGTGTGTGTGTGTGTGTGTGCGTGTTTTGAATATTCACCACAACAGCCCCTATTCCACCCAGATGAGCAGATCCAAAATCAAATCATATTTAATCCTATTACAGACAACAAAGGCTCTTGAGTTCAGACAACCCAACAATGAAACAGTTTCACCTCAATAGCAAGCAACATCAAGTACATGTGTGTGCATGTGTGTGTGTGTGTGTGTGTGTGTGTGTGTGTGTGTGTGTGTGTGTGTACGTGTGCCAACTTCCTCATATCCAAGATGCCCACCTTGCTAAGATATTGATATTAATCTATCTCATGCCAGAAGGGGGGGGGTAGGAAGGGGAAAACCTTCTGGTCCAAGCAAAGGAGGTTGCACATGACTAGCTTAGCCATTTGCTTTCTGTTGCTTATGCTGGCAACTCCGACAATGAAAGACCATTCATTCCTTTTCCTTTGCAGATATGTGCATCGTCAGAACGTCTGCTGTGCTACTGCCAAAGGCTGCTATGTCAACGAATCGACAGAGAGAATTGCCAATGACAAGATACTCAGACTGCACTGTGCTGCTGTGAGTCTGCTTCTTTTTCACTAGTCATGCGCGCAGCAACACCTCATTGGCAAGAAAGAGATGCTTGCCCTGAAATAATATATCAGAACGAGAACCACATCAGAAGACAAATCAGAAAGGAAAAAGAAAGGGATGCAAATATGAGAGCACCTTTCGTCCGTAGCGGCGAAGCACTCTATCTACGCCTTCTGAAGAAGTAATATAACACAGACCTGGGCACCGTTGCTCGCACCCGTAGCCATGTGGAAGCGAAAATATATCAGAATCAATGCTGTTCATCAACTTGAACGTGTCATGACGGAAGGTCAGCTGCGTCCGTGGTTCCACGTAAATTCTCATCGGCGTAGAGTCTGCAATCACTTGCCAGTAGTTGGTGGTGTCCTTGTGGGTTTGTTTCCATTTGTTGCAGTCATACCCTTCGACGTTCTCGCGACCAATGTAGGTCGCATTTGCCAACCACGTGCGCGGTCTAATTCCGCATCCATCAGAAGCTCTACAGCATTGGCAGCAATACCTATGCTCTGGGAAAACAAGATACCTAACGCCCCCAACGACAACGTGTGAGCACGGAGTTCGTCGAATCGGCCAGACGGTGCCACAAAAGCGGTCACCCCTTCCCACGTCTCGATCAATTCGAGACCGTTGATTGGTAGAATCATAGTATATCTTCCCTCCTGTGTGCAAGGAGAATATACCCAAGTACTCTGTCTCGTTGAACTCTATCACAAACTTTGGGGGCCAAATAGGCGGCAAAACGGGCATTGGTGGTTCTGGACTCACGCCATGGTCGTCAAGGCCAGGTACTGTAGGTGTAGCATGCGATCTGGCTATGGATGCCAGCCCAGCTCCTACAGGCACAGATGACGAGGAGGAGGACGACAACAACAAGGATGATGAGGACGATTGATCAGATGAGGACGTGGACGACGACGATAAGGATGACGATTGATCTGAACTACCACCAGAAGATGCTATCAACTCAGAGGTATCATCCACTGGTATCGCCACTCCGAGCGTGTATGCGACATTGCTGCATGCGGGATGGACAGGCCAGACCACTGAAAGCCCTAGACCCAGCACCCATAGCATCTGACAAAGATGCAATCCAATAAGCTGGCCATCCATCGGGCTGCCGTGGCAATGACCAGGTCACACTTACTTACCCCGATTGGCCACTCCGTTTGCCGATCTTGGTAATCCACAGTGGCGAGGGCACCAGGGCACAAAATGCAAAGGCGGTAGCTGCGGCGGCTACTGATCCGGCGTGCAAGCACATTCAACAGCTACAGAGTCATTCTGACAGTACGGAGCGAAGGCGCCAGATCTCGCTCCAAATTGCACAAGGTCGTACCCACCTCTCCTTTTCTCCCCTGTCACTTTTGAAATTTGAGGACGCCTGTGTCGACATGATCAACCTTGACAGGCAAATAGAAAAAAAGCGAAAGAAAAGGTAAAAATAAAAAGAAGATCAGTTCACTTCACTCCAGCGAATGACAATCTTTTCACTTCAGGTGCAAGCCAAAAAAATGTTATTCCTGCCAATGCATTTGGAGCATTCTCACACTCGAACGTTCTCAACTGAATGTGGTAGCAATTTTGATCATATAGATCCTTGAAAGTCAATACATGAGTATGCCCTTACTCTTCAGGACACACGGGTACAGCAGACGCAAGGTTCATTCAGATCAGTAATATCAGTCAGGACACATGGGTAGAGCAGATCCTGCCTGGTTCACACTTCTGTCAGTCAACCAGAAATATCTAACCACCTAGATGGTCCCACACCCAAAGAACCACTTGGCACCAATGAAGGCTACCGTCTTCCCCCGAACATAACGCACCCTAAAAATGAATGTATACAAGCTATATTTCCGGCCAGATACGGCCAAATTAAGGGTGCGTTGTGTTCGGGGGAAGACGGTAGTCCCACAGTCTAGGCCCTAGGGTAACATTCAAGTTAAAAAAATATATATGGTCCAATCCCAAATGCGAGGAACTTTTCAGTTCCAAATGAAAACCAACTTTAGGAACTTTGTCCCTTGGGATAAGCGGAAGCAGTCAACATCCCAGAGGCAAAAGTTGCATTCTGTAAGCAAAAGTCACCTCTCATATTGAAAAGTCATGTCCCACAGGCGAAGGACACTTCTCCAGGCAAAAGTCGTGTCCAGAGGCAAGAGTCACATCCCACAGTCAAAAGTCATGGGTTCCACAGATGAAAAGTCATGACTCGCAGACTCAAGCAGCAGCACACCAATGAAAATTCGGGAAAAGTACCAGTCCTTGACATTCTGAAGCAAGCAGGCCATGGGCATGTGGTACCAGATCCAAGTCAAGCCAAAGGAAGCAGAGGCTGGGATGAGTTTCCAAGTCAATATAAGGACCGGCCAGCAACATTTCAGTGGAGAAGCACTTGTGCGCTATCTGCAAGTGGCATGCGCTAGACCCTGCTGGGTGCTAGGCAGGGAGGCGGCCATAGCCACATAGCTAGTAGTAGAAGACAGAGCTGATTAGTAGCGGATGTATTCAGAGTCAAGATTCTCAAGGGGAGGGAGAGAGAGAGAGAGAGAGAGAGAGAGAGAGAGAGAGAGAGAGAGAGAGAGAGAGAGAGAGAGAGAGAGCCAGGGAGAGAAGAGAGTCACCTACCTTAGATGAGGATGCTGGTATTGGGTTGTTGAAGCCTGCGCTGTTGACTGCTTGGTGACTGGAACTCCGAAACTGTTTAATATGATAATTTGTTGGAACTTTCTAAGCTACGCATATCTGGACTCCAGTGTGGTTTCCATGTGACCTCTCAATGTGTGTGTGTGCTCAAGGTGTCAAGCAGTGAGGCTCAATGCGATTGTTATCGGAGCTGGTAACCCGCTGCATCCGCTGGTGATGAACGCTGGCATGAGGTCGGTGAGTGGAGATTGGGAGTTTGACATAGGGGCGGTAGGCCGAAGAAGAAGTGGCCACTATTGGGGGGTGGTGATTACGTACCTGCATGCGAGGAGTGTCGAGGAGCTTCATTGAAGGAACGTTCACAAGTGAACTGCATCGCCCCCTATGCCCTGCATTTGCTTTAATGAATGAATGAGTGTCTTGGTACCTTCCCACATCTTGTTGTCACTGCTGCTGGACAGAACACTTGGTGACAATCAGATTTTGTCTTGAGTCAGCATCTGGTCAGACATATATGTCTGAAGTAGGTCGTGTCTAGGCTAGAAGCTCGGCAGCTGGATGTATCACCCGTAAAGTAGGGAGCATGGGCATGAGTGGCGAGCGCTCGTAAAACAACGCGTCTAGCCCTAAGACCGGCACTGATCGCCATGCGACGGAACCGGAGCTGACGCAGTGAGGAGCTATACGACTTGAGAGTGAACCTTCGGATCCTGGTGGGCACGCCGTCCTGTCTGCGTCGTTAAATAATTCTTGAGGTCCTTGCTGGCTGACCTTAAGCTGCTGGTTGCCCACTAGCCTGACAGGGTAGTTGTAGTGACACTGTGGGGGACAAAACTCAGGTCAGACTCCAATCTAGATTAGGTAGTTTAAGTGTTGAGGGTGAGGTCTACGTGGTGAGGAGGTGGAGGCTACATACCTGTGGCTTTAGTAACCATGGATGACTACCCGATGTTCGCTATGTTGAACCTGTCCGTGTTATGGGGTTCCCTTCTCCGACTTTTGTTCCCCCTAGGATTCCACCGGCCATGCGGTATGAGTGTAACCATGAGGTCTGGTGGGACCACACAGCCATATACAGCAGATCAGCAGACAAAAATTGATCGGAAGATGGCTCAGAAGAAGAAAGAGAAGGAGGAGAAAAAGAGAAAGGAGGAAGTTAAGAAGAAACTAGAGGAGGAGAAAGAGAAAATGGAGAAAGAGATGAAGAAGAGAGAAGAATTGAAGGAGTTAGAAGTCGAAGAAGAAGGAGGGTTGGTGAGAAGATGAGCCCAACCAAAAGGGGAGGAGGTGGCGGAGAGCAGCCATGCTGCGGAGTTGAGACTCCAGCAGGTTGAGGACTTGGACTGGGTGGAGAAATTTGGGTTCCGAAAGAAACTGATGAAGAGGGATCGTTTTGTAGCGAAGTTGGCAGCAACAAAGGATCAAGAGGAAAGGAAGTTGCTGATTAAGGAGAAAAAAGGGGAACTCGAGCTAAAGTTGGCCGCAAGAAGGAAATAATTTGTGGAGAAGAAAAGACTGAAGAAGGAAAGGGAGAGACTCCAGACGTTGCTGAAAAAGCAGAAAGGGAAACAAGTAGAAACTGAGGAATGTTAGAACCTTTTGGCCGACACTTTGTTGCATACCACCCAGGAACTCTCTGCACTTCAACGAGCCGTTGGAAAGGTAGAACAACACCAGGAGGAGTTTAAGGGCATTGGAATAACTAACTTAGTACGTCATCTAGCCAAGTGGACCATAGGGTCCTACAGTATGCACGCCAACTAGATGAGATCTTCACTCAGAAACTGGATAACACCATCGCTGCAATTAAGATAGGTGGCGGTGGCGGGGGTGGAGATGGTGGCAATGATGGGGATGGCGACAAGAAAGGAAAGGGTCCCAGAAAAGATGACGGAAGGAAGGAAGGAGACAAGTCTGAGGGAGGAGAACGAAGGGAGAAGATGAAGGGAAAACTCCCTTGGACATACATTGGGAAGGAGGAGAGCATTTTTCATTGGGAGGCAACGATGGACACGTGCTTGTACGCACGATTGATTTCATATTGGGACCGTGTACTTATGGCACGTTCGTGTCTACGGGGAGATACGACAAGCTTCGCAATTTCGTTGGGGAAGGAGGCAGGTTGTACCTCAATGGTGCAGTACTCACAGCGCACTAGGATAGAGGACTTTTCGGGGCCTTGAAAGACCGGTCCGAAGATAAGAACTTAGCCCGCTGTACTGAGTCCCTCATCCTTAACATTAGTGACCGCAAGTGGAAAAGTGTGTCAGCACTCAAGGCCACTATGGACGAGCTGTTGCGATTTCCTAAACACGGACTGACCCCCCCTCAGACCCTGAACAATTTCACTAGAGCGCTTCCCGAACCCCTTAAGACCCAGTTATATCCCCGTACTAAAGAGGAGGGGATGACTTACGAAAAGTTTCCTAAGATGATTGTACACCATGTTGGCTTCTTGCAAGAGGCTAACTATTACCACTACTAGAAGGATCTGCAAGCCAGTAAGAGGTGGAAGAATAAGACCATATTCGGCAGTATAGAGGGGAAGGATAATATGTTGGTCACCTTCGAGGAAGGAGGTGTAAATTCATTACCATACGACCAAACAGATTATGGTCTAGAAGAAGAGAACAATAGCCAAGTAGCCCAGGGAGGGGACTATACGGCAGTTGCAGCCCGTGGGGGAGCGCGACAAGGTAGAGGTCGAGATAGAGGAGGCCAAGGTCGAGGACGAGAACCCGCTGCCAGAGGGGTGATGGCGAAGGTAGCTACTACGTGGTAGGTAGGGGTTATGGTCCCTCGCAAGGTGGTAGAGATTCTCCCCTCATAGAGGGTAAAGGTAGAGGCAAAAATTGGCGGTCGTACCCAGCACCCCCAGGGATGGCTGCAAGCAAACCTTGGAAAAAGAGATGGGTATAAACGAGGATGTCTGGGAAAACCGTTGTAAGGCCCACCAATGTTTTAAGTGTGGTGACCCCGACCACATAGTTTCGTTCTGTCCAAAATAAAGATACCCAAAAGGGAACAGCCAGTAGAGGTCGCAGTTGCTTCTACAAGGACTTCAGACTTGGACAAGAAAACAAATGCGCGCGCTGAAAATGCACTCTCATGTCCGAAGATCCCAATCACAAAGATTGTTGTAGGCCCCCACCTAGCTAGTTGTTTAGAGGTTGCTTGTGCTACGACTCTCTAGGTGGTTCCCTCGCAAGCATTGGTGATGAACTGATCACTCGTTGCCACTTGGGCCGAAATGAAGAAGAAGTCAAAAGGGAAACTAACAATAGCCAAGATAGAGGTGAGTAGAGAAAGAATAGGCGTGTTAGTAAACAGTGGGTCAACGCACAATTATATAAGTCAAAGAGGGTTGCAGAAGATGCACCTAGGTATGAAAGTGAAGAAGTTAGATGAGTCGGTCATTAGTAAATTGGCCGATAACAGAGAGATGATAGTATGTGAGTATGTTGAAGAGGTTAAACCACCAGTAAACGACCTCACCCTTGGCAGTCCGAAACTTGTCGCCACAAGAAAACGAGGCCGAAACGTCAAACATCACGCCCACCATTGATAAATTAGATCGGCAGTCGTGGTTTCGTTTCGCTCCTCCAAAATTTGAGGTGTCATGCCCCCGGCCTAGATGCCCATGTACTGGTGCTTTAATCCATACTTCCGGTTGGAGGCACGGGGTAAAATAGAGAAAGTTATGCACTCCTTGACACTCTTAGTGGAGGATAGTCTTCCTTTTGACATGATTGCA